TTAACTTCATCTGTTAACAAAGCATCCTGTTAGAATGATGAGGTTTGCTAAGGAGTTGCACAATAGCAGAAATCAGAAAAATACTATGACCAGTAACAATACCACATGTTAAAGTTCAGTCTTATTTGAGTTGTACCAAATCCTGCTCTCCTGGGCTACAGTGGGTCTGGTTTCTAATAAATAAATACATAAATAAAGTAGGTTTCAAATACCCGTACTTTTTGTGTTGTGGCTCAGCATTTCAGAATGAACTGAACCTTGGTTGGACAACCATTGCCTGAAAGACAGGCAAGGACTCAGGTACGAGTTAAGCAAAATATTGGGAGAAGCCAGTCATCCTTACCAATAGCTGGCAACTTGATAGGATAGCGAGGGAGAGCTGAAAAGATCGTTCTTTCTATCCAACACCATCCAGAATCTCAAGACAGAGAGGGAATGACTCAAAATTCAACTCTCCTTGTGGAGGAAGAGGATTTCTCCAAGGGCTTGGCTATACACAGTGACTGGCTCATTTCCACTACAGGTATGGTGTACTAGTGAACATTTGAGCACCTAAAATTATGTGGACAACATGCATTAGAAAATAAGCTACGTATTTAGGTAAAACTATTGAGCCCAGATTGCAGGATATGGCTTCAGGATTTTCTCCTTTCCTGTTTCAAGACCTATGGAAGATGCTGACCTCTCACTGAAGGTACAGGCAGCCTGTTCTGGTCCTTGCTGTAGAAGACAGTGGCTGATTGGTTTTTACATCATGGGGCTACAAGAGAATTGTAGTTCTTAACAACTATATTTTGAGAGGGAAAAAAGGCTGCCTGATTGCACAGGCTCTTTGCACAGGAACTCATAGCCTGATGGGTGCTGTAGTTAGGGACCATTCTAGACTGTCTCCATATTGCACGCAGGAGTACGGCCAAGAACCAAGCCCACCTACCCACTCCAGCTTCACATGCACCAACTCTTAGAAATCAGGCAATGGAGCCGCCTTAGAACAGTGATTCTCAACCAAAGTGCTAGGGCGCCCCAGGATGCCATGAGATCTTTTTTAGGTGCCATGGGGTACCATGCAATATTAGCACTGCTAGGTATGCAAACTCATGTATGATTCACAAGATAAATCCAAAGGGCATCCACATATGCAAGCACGTGCACTTGCAGCAGCTCAAATAGAAGCAGTGCAAATTTGAGCCAGGGCTTTTTGCCTCAGCGCAGGTGCCTGAACATGCACTTTGGTGTGGGGCAAATTGTGCCACTTGGGACAAAATAACCCTGCCCGGCTCTTCCTGGATCTGCAGCCAGGGGGAGCTAGAGCCCAGGGCCAGCACCTGTGCTGTCCCCAGCAGTACCAAAAGCCGCCCTGGCAAGTAGCTCAGGGCTACTTGCTCTCAGGAGCTTCTGAGGCCCAGCCAATTGGTACCTGGGGACACTACCCCTTGTGCCAGCTGGACTGCTGAAGCAGCCCTGAGAGTTCCCTGCACCCTCTACCCACTGCAGCAGTCTGGCAGTGGGGGCTGCTGCCCGGCTGTGACCTGCTGTGCACCTGCCAGACTTGGATGGGGACTGCAGAGCCAGTAGAGGCATCTGCCCCTCTGGGCCAGCTGCCAGTGGAC